AAAACTCCTGCGTTATAAACTAAAGCTTAGTAAAATATTTTCTTTGCTATACAGACATGCTACTGTTTATTGTAATACTTGCTCAATTGGCATGCATTTTTCCAACTCTGGATTTATGCATTGCTGTATAGCCACAGACACTTAATTTTTATGTCTTCATTTTAATACTATTTTGGCTAATAAATGTGGTGAAGGTATAAATGGGTTATCACAATGCCTTGAATTAATCTTGTTTCTGGATTCCTCTTCATGTCTGCTTTAACAATGCTCATATGTTCGCCTTCAATACAAATGGCTGAAGTCTTTCATAGTCCAGGTAGTTAGTCTGGCCTCTGACATTAAATAGAACCCCCAACTAAAAAGCCGGGCATCCTGGATGATAGGAGAGACCACAGGAGCCTTTGATAAAGCTTTTCACCACTAGTAAAGACTATATTTGTAACCATTGTGTTCTGAGAAAGGGAATAGTCATTGTTTTTAAATATTCTGTTTCATTTTTACAACCTTATACATTAGGTATTGTGTCTTGGGGTTTTATTTGGCAGGGGCACTGGAGATTTAAGAAAGAGCCAAATTAATATGTATGTGGCAAAACTGGTGCTCAGGCATACTCTATGTTGGAGTTCTTTTCATTCTAACCTCAGCTAATGGATCTTAGTCTCAGTACATACTGGCCATGTGACCTTGGAAAGTATCTTGTTCTCTCTGATTTTCAGCTCTCATGTCAGGGAAATGAAGGAACTGACATTGGATGCCTCTGCTGCAGACTGGGAGCCTGAGTCAGGACAAGCTTTTCTGAATATCTTCAATTTTTTTTCCCTATGCCTCCTTTGGTTCTTGAGTTTTTCCATAATTTTTTATTTTTCTAATTGGTAAAAATATTTGGCTGGACTAAATTCAATCCAACCTATATCTAGTGAGTCTCTAATAGGGATCAGAAACCATGCTGGATGCTGAAAACAATCAGTGTCTGAATCCAAATTCTAGGGAAGTATATGCTTCCTTTTTAGATAAAGCTTGTTGAGAGCTTACTGTGGCTCAACTGTTCTAAACATCTTACATATGTAACCCATTTAGTCCTCATAATAATGCTTCGAAAGGGGAACCCTTATGGTTCCTATCATGCAGCTGGGGAAGCTGACACACAAAGAGGCTGGGTTACTTGTTATGAAAGTTCACAGAGAGTCAGTTCTGGTTGGGTTCCCTTGCTAATGGGGCAACTTGTCAACTGGAACTTGAAAGATGGTTAATATGGGGACAAAGACAAAAATTTTCCAGCCAGACAAAGAGACATAAACCATAGAATAAAGATGAGATGGGATGAGATATTTATCTGAAAGTGAGCAGAAGTTTCCCTTCCTGGGAATTTTTTTTTTTTTTTTTTTTTTGGATCTACAGGGATTGGTAGGTCATTGCTCAACAAAGTTGTTTGACATGGTGGAGTGCAGGCTTTGGGATCAAATCCCAGTGCAACTCCTTGAGTGTAAATTCCCTCATTTGTAACAGAGTAGAGACGCAATGATGAGCATCTTCAGCAAGGAGAGAGGATAGGAGTTTAGACCTCTCCCAGCAGAGGGAGGGGGGTAGATAGCACTGAGGAAGTGCTATCTACGGTTTGGTAGTGGTTTGGTAGAGGATGAAGAGTGGAAGAAAAAAGAAGAAAGGAATAGAGTTGAAGTATTGTTTCAGCATAAATTGATAAGGCAGGATCAGTGAAAAAGGAAAGGACAAGACAGAAACTGATGAAGTTGGAGAGAAAAGATGAAGAACCTGAAGTCAAAGACAAATGTATGGTTTCAAACTGGGTGGCTCAAATATTGATGCAGAGTAAGATTAGGTTGGGAACCCCTTGTAAGACATCTTGTGTTCTGCAAGGGGAGTTGATGAGTGCACCAAAGACTGGGATATAAAAGACAGGTGATAACTCTAGGCAGAACCTTGGGAAGCATCCATCCTAGTGAGGCAGGGGGACCACATGTACAGCTCAGAGGAGAGGTGGGACAAGAACACATGTACTCTGAAAGTCAGGAAAGGAAATGCTTTGAGAATGGCGAGAGGTTGAGAGTGTAAATGACACAGAGATATCTGGGAGGGTGAAGACTGAAAACAAGTTCTTGGAATCAGTATGTAGGATATGATGGTGTTCTTTCAGCGGACTGTTTTAGCAATAACAGAGGTCTTGGCTGGGGAGCACACAATGAGAACAGAGAGGTCAGGAGCCAGTTGATGGGGAGGGAAATGGATAAACCATCCTCATAGAGACAAGAAGGAATGGCTCATTCCTAAATGTAAGAGATATACATAGGAAGATGGGGTCCCAGAAGAATAGAGGCCTGGAGCCTTCAATCTGAAAGGTGTTATAGAACTTGCAGAATAGTCTGAAATGCAATACTGGGGAAGAAAAATGAAATTGCAGAGGGAAGCCCTGGGAGGCAAAGGTGGTGTGTCTCAAAACCCTAAGGGATTGGAAAGCCAAATGGGCCTTGTCCATCCATGTTCTGTAGGGTAGCCTAGAGACTGCCTGTACCTCCATGTTACATTTCTCTACTTCCATTGTTGGTCTTGTTTCTTTGTAATATGAAAGCATCATTGAGGTCTTCATGGACTCAGTCACTGGGGCTATTCATGCACTTCCCCCTTTTTTTTCTTTACCATTTCAAGAATTAATAATGGGATCAAGGAGACCTTAAAAGGATGCCAAGTCAAAGATGGTGTTGGTAAATCAGCAAAGACCCCTCCAAGATTCAAACCAGTCAGGTGTGGCATGACACCAAATGTTCCTTAGCTCCTTTTGGTGCTGACAGGCTCAGAAAGATTTCCATTCAAGGGGGAATGTCTCTCTCAGAAGGGCACCATCTTGGTTTAGTGCTATATTGTTGTGTTCTTGAAATTCTTGAGAACAGCATAAGGGCTCCCGCATTTATAACCTGCCCTGTGCTCTGTAGATTTTGTAGCTGGTCCTGTCCCTCATCCACACAAGGAATTCTTCTCACTTTTGGAGAACTTTCAACAGTGCCTCGAGGGGGTTCCAACCCATATCACAATGCTCCCATATCCCACAGGGGACTGCCCTACTCTTCATTTCAGAGTCTTTTTCCCCCCTCTTCTCAGAGCACACCTCCAGGGGAGGTGCAGCTGAGCTTCAGATCTCAGGACTCATGGGTACTTCTCTGGTTTCCTTACTGATGAGCAGGGGCAGTTTTGACAGGACACCCCTCAGTGGGATATTAAAAGGCTCTGCAAGTCCCAGATCTAAATTCCCATGGCAATGGAGAAGGGAGGGAGGGACCAGCACACCTGCTTCCTTTCATTTTTTATAGTGTGCACTCCCGCTGGTCACTGTGGGTAAGTAGTCTGAGGATGCCACAGTCTCCCTTTTAAAGTCCAGTCTGTACTTGACCAGGGAAGGAAGACCCACAAGTAAGCCACAGAATCCACAAAGAGTCTCCCGAAGCCCAGTTTCTTACTCCAGGGCGAGGCCTTCGAGTTCCTCTCACTCTTTAACTGTTTTTTAGCGGGGCAACTGTGGGGCCCTCCACTTCTTTGGCTTTGTTCAGAGTTCAACAGCGCCGCCTTCTGGTGCTTGGTTGGGAGTGCCATTGCGTAGAGTTGGTGTAGGGTGTGTTTAAAAAAGTTTGCAACTCTCTGCCGAGTTTTGGACCCACCCCTCCGCATTCTTCCTAAGTGAATAAGCGGATAAGGTCGAAAGTGACGGAGTCCCATTCCCTCCTCCCAACTCTCCGTACCCTGCCCATCCACAGGCCAGCCCCTCTATGATGCCCTTTGCAGAACAAGTGGTATTTACAAGCGACTCATCAGCTGGGCTTCTTGAAGAAACTGAAAGCTCCTAAAGAGACCCAAATGGTATCCAGCTGGAGCCCACAGCGCCTCCTTTCGGGGGCTTCCTGCCAACTTCGTTAGGGATGCGAGATGGACTCCCCCCTCCGCCACCTCCCTACCCGGTGAAGCTGGAGGAAAACGGACCAGACTAACGCGTTTCCCTACAAGCCCGCCCCCTCAGGACTCTTTGGGAATTCGCCTGCCACCATTTCTGATAGAATTTCAGAGCCCTGACAGTGTTCGTGTGACTTTCCCACACTAAGAGATGGGGTCAGACCTTGGCGACACATACCCAAGAACTAGCGAGTCCCTGGCTAGTTGTGAGCTAGGAGAAGTGGGACGTTGGGGGTACTGGTGTTAAGTCACTCTACTCTGCTTCGCCCCGTAGTAGCCCCCTGCCAAATCCACTGTCCTCTGGGACCAGGCGCCCTGGTGTTGGGTATAGTTGTCCTTTCTGGCAATCGAATCTTTGTGGAAATCCATGCTCCCCACCCTCGGTCAAATGTCCTCTTTATGCCGGGCACTCTGCCAAGATTTCTGCAGGTGTTAGCCACCATCCACACTCTACACTCCTTTCAAAACTCTCTTTTCCCTCATTTCTTGTTCCCAGAGTCCCCGCAACCCAGGATTTCCTTGAAATCGGTATTAACATTTGGGGTGGGGGGGGCTTAGAAAAGAGAATCAAGATCAAGAGTTTAAGGAGGGAGTGCACGGGGCGGGAGGAGGGTGCGGTGGCGAGTGGTCCGGGCGGGACCTGTTGTCTTGCTGATAGGAGTGCTGTTCTTCCTAGGCGCCCGCCCCTGTCAGCCCCGCCCGAGGACTTCCCTAAGCTGACGGCCGGGTTTACTCATCCCAGCGAGGTGATCCCAGGCGCGAGGGCGGGCGCAAGGCGTCCGGAGAACCCAGTAATCCGAGAATGCAAACCAGCCCTTCCCACCAAGCACTTCCTTCCTTTTCCCGAACGTCCAGGGAGGGAGGGCCGCGCATTTATAAACTCGGGCCTCAGCCGACCAGTATGTCAGAGACTGCCTCGCCGGGGCTGAGCGCCGCTGTGAGAAGCGTCTGAGCTGGGACCCAAGCTAGCGGCCGTCGCCAGCAGCGCCCGGTGCCTCTCCCCACCCACGGCCAGGTCCTAGCCCCTTCCCAACGTCCGCACTTTCCCCGGGCGCCTGCAAGCAACACCCTTGGACAGCATGCTAGGGGTCTTCCTTCTGAGTGTGTTGGCCCCGGCGGGCCTGGGGCTTCCCACACCAGCAGAGCCTCTGCTCAGTAGCAGTCAGTGCGTCGAGCACGATTGTTTCGCGATTTTCCCGGGCCCCGTGACCTTCTTTGCTGCCAAACAGGCCTGCGAACGCCTGCGAGGACATCTGATGACCGTGCGCTCCTCGGTGGCTGCCGATGTCATCTCCCTGCTACTGAGTGACGATGAGAGCGTCGGCCCGCGTATTTGGATCGGTTTGGTGCTCCATCAGGGCTGCGTCGACCCGGAGCAACTCGGGCCCCTACGCGGCTTCCAGTGGGTTACAGGAGACAATCGCACCAGCTATAGCAGGTGGGCGCAGCTTGACCGTGTTGGGGCGCCCCTCTGCGGCCAGCTGTGCGTCACTGTCACGGCAGTGGCAGCCTCAGCGCCTGGAGAACCGGTCTGGGAGGAGCAACAGTGCAACCAGGAGGCCGACGGCTTCCTCTGTGAGTTCCCCTTTGCAGCGTCCTGCAGACCCGTGGCAGTGGACCCCAGCGCCGCTGTTGCTGTTCATGTCCCAATCACCTACAGCACCCCGTTTGGGGCCCACGGCAGGGACTTTCAGGCACTGCCAGTGGGCACCTCCGCTGTGGTGGAGAAACTAGGCTTGGAGCTGATGTGCATGGTGCCTCCTGGAGCTGTAGAGGGGCGCTGGGGTCGGGAGGCGCCCGGTGCCTGGGACTGCAACGTGGAGAATGGAGGCTGTGAGCACGCGTGCAACCAGAGCGCTGTGACGCCCAGCTGCCTCTGCCCAGGTGACGCCGTTCTGCAGGCAGACGAGCGTTCCTGCGCAGCACCCACAGTGCAGTCGTGCAACCATCTATGTGAGCACTTCTGCGTTAATAACTCCGAAGTGCCGGGCTCCTATATGTGTATGTGCGAGACTGGCTACCAACTGGCCGCGGACCAGCACCGGTGCGAGGACGTGGACGATTGTAAGATGGTCCCAAATCTGTGCCCGCAACAGTGTGTCAACACGAAGGGTGGCTTTGAGTGCCAATGCTATCCTGGCTATGAAATGGTAGACAGCGAATGCGTGGAGCTCCTGGACCCGTGTTTCGCCGCGAACTGCGAGTACCAGTGTCAGCCGGTGAGTCAAACAGAGTACCGTTGCATTTGTGCTGAGGGCTTTGCACCCAACCCCCAAGATCCGCACAGGTGCCAGATGTTCTGCAATGAAACTGCATGCCCCGCAGACTGTGACCCCAACACCCCAGACAGTTGCCAGTGCCCAGAAGGCTACATCCTGGACGACGGTTTTATGTGCACTGACATAGATGAGTGCGACAATGAATACTGTCCTTATGAATGCCGCAACCTCCCGGGCAGCTATGAGTGCATCTGTGGGCCCAACTCCGATCTTGCCGTCTCGGTTGGCACAGACTGTGACGCTACCAGGGTGCCCAACATTGACGACAAGGAAGATGGCTCTGGAGAGCTCCCAATCAGCCCGACGCCGGACTCCACCTCAAGTTCTCCAACCGCGGGGCCTGTGCATTCGGGCGTGCTCATTGGCATATCCATTGCAAGCCTGTCTCTGGTGGTGGCGCTTTTGGCACTCCTATGCCACCTGCGCAAAAAGCAGGGTGCTGCGCCAGCAGAACTGGAGTATAAGTGTGGCTCACCTGCCAAGGAGGTGGTGCTGCAGCACGTGAGAACTGATCGGACACTGCAGAAACTCTGAGGGCCCTCCCTCCAGGGATCTGGGTGTTAGCGTGCCTATTTCTCCTTCCTGTGCCTTTCTCCTTGGCTACCCAGAAGCACCCTAGCTTGCTTGACACCTGGAGAAGATCCTCCCCCATCCTCCCATACTGTAGTTGGGCAGGAAAGGATTGGAAGAAGGGGAGCCCCAGTCTCTTGGACAGCATGCTAGGGGTAAAACTGGGAAAACTGGGCAGAGATGGCAAATTTACATCAAGACACAGACTGCAAAGTGTCCCAGGACCTTACCATGGGGGACAGGAAGGGTGAGCCTTACTGGTTTGTAGCCTTGGGGGCTGACTTGTGAGATAGTGACGACCAGTGTATTTATTATTATTTTAAAATATTTAGACTTTCCCCCATTCCTTTGCTCCCCCCCAACCTGTATTTCTCCAATACAAACTTTATGTGTATGTGACTTTCCCACTTACTTTTTCTCCTCCTTTCTTTTTTTTCCCCCTCTCTCTCTTCCTCCCTACCTCTCTCTGGCCTTATTTCTTTGCTATTAGCTGTTCATCGAGGCAGACATTCTACATGAAACAGAAACAAAGACACTAAAGCCCAAAACGGTGCAGTATTTTCTTTTTCATCAGCTTTGATAATTATCCCAGAATTTTAGGCTTCCAGAGCACAATAATTTTAACAAAGGTTAAAAAGTGAGAGGCGATAATCACATTAATATCATGGGACTATCATAGAAATTCAACCCAAGGAGTTTTTATCTTCATTTTTAAAAAGTGAGCCTGAGTTTCATTGTTGTTGTTGATTTGACTTGGACTGAAAAATAGTAATTGTGTTTAAAATAATTAGGCATTTTCTTCAGAATTGTAGTTCTTATCATCATAATTGTCATTAATTTTTGACAGTGTGGAAAAAATTCAGATGCTTGCCTTAAATTGAGAGAAATACCTCCCAAGGGATAGTTTAAGAAGACTCATGCTTGATGCTAATTTGACTCTCAATTTCTCTTGATACTTGTAGTAAAAAATAAAAGCAGCTGTACTGGTTTTAGGGAGATTGGGTGCTTGGAAATGGAGCCTGAGTGATGCCTTTTTAGTCAATTTTGTGTTCTTGTGACCAAGACACCTGATAAGAACAAATTAGAGGAGGGAAATTTTATTTGGGGCTCTGTATTTGGAGGTCTAAGTTCATAGATGGCTGACTTCATTGCTCTGGGCTCAAGATGAGGTAGAACATCATGGTGGGGGAAAGTCCTGTGGAGGAAAGCAGCTCAGCTTCTGGAGGGGTCAGGAAGCAGAGAGAAAAATGGAAGGGGCCACAGAAAGACACATCATTCCAGGGTATACTCCTAGTCACCCATCTCCTTCAGCCAGGACTCAACTGCCTCCAGTTACCACCCAGTCCTTTCAAACTAGTGCGGACTGATTAGAGTAAAACTCTCACAATCCAATCATTTCACCTATGAACGCTGCATTGTGAAGACACCTCATATCCAAACCATAACAATGTCCAGGTAGGGTCTCGCCTTATGAGGCACTTGGAGAATATCTCCCATTTCAGAGGGACCTCCTAACCCTAGCCATTGGAATATGGTCTTGGGACAAGAATTGGGCCTCCTGTGGAAGCTCCTTAGATAGTGACAGTTCTAGGCTCCACCCCACCTAGTTCATGAGAAATGCATTTTAACAAAATCTGCAAGGGGTTATCAGTCACTTGAGGAAAATAGTTCTAGAAAATTAAATATGGGTCAGTAATAAGTAGCAGGCCAAGTCAGGCCCTTTATTTTTAAGAAACTGAGGAATTTTCATTGTATAGCTTTGCTTTCTGGTAGAAAAGACTAGGTACACACCTCTAGACATTGCCACACAGGGTCAAGAAGGTCTTTGGTTGAACTAAGCTAGGCATGGAATCATGCTTCGATGGTTGGGGACAAAAATGTATCATGTGTGAGTGTATCATATGTAAGGCAAAGGTTTTTCTCTACTGTTTTGTGAACTCAGCACATTTGTACATAGTTATTTATTTATTGGAGTTAAACTAGAACACAGGCAAAACCCTTGCTTATGATCATACTTGTACAAAATAAACAAATTAAAGAAATTACAGTGTACTCTTGGGTTGTGTCTTTCTTCACCTTTCTTCCCCCATCTCCTTGTTTTATGTCATTAAATGGGGCTCACAAACAATGTAAATGCCATGAACTGCATTAAAGAATGGTCTACACCCTACCATCCATGCTGCCAAGTCAAAGTACCATTTCTGACTTTCAAATATCTTTCCAGAGGAGTTATTTTCAATGTAAGAGTTCATGTTATCTTATGTGCACAGTTATTTGTCTTTCTGTAACCCTAACAACTTCATACACAATGACTTATGTTAATATGTTTTCAAATACATTATAGGATCATATGTTGGGATGAATTAACGGAAAATTCTTCCTTTGGCATCTCCAGAATCCCAGGGGTGTGTCCTTCTGCAATATGGTTGGCATTATCTGCTCCCTGAGGTATTCAAACCCAAAGTAGTCAGAAAGGGTGTTTGGCTCAAATTCAAGTGACCATTCCTTATTACCAAGGACTCGGCCATTATTAATTCTTCCTCGTTTATGTTGGATATTAAAAACACTGTCTTCATGATACAGATCTCTTGGACCCTTTTCCTAGAATGACAGAGCTGACTAAATTTTACGTGCATAGACATGAAGGTTTTTATAAAGCAGGAATGAGAAAAATTGAGTTCAGTCAATTATTCAAATGTTTTTATACATCTAGTATCTCAGTATCCATTTAAGATTCAGCTTTATTATGCCATGTGCTAGGGGGCAGCTACTACATACAGTGCCCTGTGAAGGTAGCAAGTTAAGCAATGCTTCTATTCAGGAGTTTAATAAGTCTCAATGGATGGGGCAAAGCAGTGCAGATAAATGGTGCCCTTAGTAAAAAATGGGCTGTTGAAGGAGTTTTAACAAGAGCATCCTGGGGTCCACAATTATTTGCAAAGATAACATCTGCTTCTAGACTTATAAAGATGTATCCAATGATAATAAGAACCCTGGAGTTCCTCTTGTAAGCACTCAGTAGGTCTAACAATTGAGGGGAGGATGACAGTGGGGATTTGATCTAAGCCTGACATCTAGTGGTCACATGGCTATGGGTACCACCTAACCCCTCTAAGGCTATAAATGGGGTGGTAGAGGTGCTGCCTTACTGGGTTTCTATGAAGAATAGACAGGGCAAGTGAGCACAGTTTCTGGGACATAAAGGGTACCCCATAACTGTTATCCATGCTCAAAGAATTAGCAGATGGGTAAGTGAATAAAGAAATAAATTGGTGTTGGAATCTCAAGTGTCAAATCCAAGGTTGTGTAGAAAGCATAAAGTGTTCTTTCAAGGCAACATGCAGTCACTTACAAGGCATGCTGTCATCCTAGAGAAATAATAATGGAGGGATTTGGGGTATCAATCACAACTTAAGGAGGGAGATATTTGTGTTGGGTGAGAAGTAGCTGTAAAGTCTAGCGTAGAAGGCTCTAGTCTGTACTCTCTGTTAATATGACAAGTCAAAAACAGGGATGGAGAGCCTCCTCCATTGTCCTCCCAAGGAGACCAGAGAGAAAGGTAGAACACCTCCAAAGTGTTCTTCCCACTTGCTCAAGGACCAAAGGAGAGAGTGGTGCCAGCCCAGACAGAACTCAGGGGGGCCCTAGTGTGTGACATTAAGGTATAGATAGGGCCAAGTGATAGAAGTCTCCAACTTTTAACTTTTTGGGCCTCCCATTATTCTTGTGCTAAGTAGGGATGCATTATATCAACAAGGAAAACCAAGACTGCAAAGAATATAAAAGCATATTTTTATCATGGTCTTGACTTGGTGGGGAGTTCCCAAAATATATCCTGGATGCATGCAGGTATTTCTACATAAAGTAATACAGGCAATACCCAGTTCTTCTTTCTTCCTATTCCAGAATGAATGCCTGGTTTCTGGACTATCTTTTTGTATCAAGTGAGTCCTTCCTTCATTTATTCATGGTCAGCAGGTTCCAATGTTGGCAAACAGTCCATTTCCTCTCCCAGGAAAAACTAAACATTGTTTTAACATCAGATTCTAAATGAATCAATATCCTTTTCAGCCTGTTTTGAAAGTGTGATTGCAAAAGACAAAAGAACCCTGGGGATCTGATCACTCAAAGTGAATTAGGGTGGGGGAGCAGACAGCAGAGGGCTTCAGTGATCTAATGAAAAGCACTAGGATTCAAAGTTGGGGTCTGTAACCATCATGCCATTTAGGCTATAGGCCAGAGTTTCCTTGAACCTCTGCCTGCAACCTGTTATTATAAGGGTGATGGTGTGCAAGGATTCAGAGATTTCCTGTTAAAATAGGAAATTTCAGGGCTGGGGAGATAGCTTAGTTGGTAGAGTGCTTGCCTTGCATGCACAAGGCCCTGGGTTCTATCCCCACCACCACCATCATACACACACACACACACACACACACACACACACACACACACACACACGACATTTCACAGCCATTATTATGCTGCTATAGGAATCTTCTTTTTTATATTTTCCAACCATGGCAGCATCTCTAATATTGTTCTCTTCATATCCCCCTCTGGGGTCATCCCCAACTACTAATTTACCCTGCCTTGGTAATCGTTCATCCTACTCAGTAAGGAAGAGATGGGCTTTTCAACAGCCCCCCTAATTCTCCCTTCTCCCTCCAGTCTCCTGCCCTGAGAAGAGGGACTCCACCTTCCACAAAGATACTGGACATCTGAATTCTCGGGCACCATCTCCCTTATAATAAGAGTCCTCTTTTTAATGCATTTGTTTGGAAATCATGATATAAACCCCAAGCACCATTGTGTGTGTGTGTGTGTGTGTGTGTGTGTGTGTGTGTTTCTTTGCTAAGATCTGACTCCCATCTTTCTTCTCATATTTTCACCTAAGAGGTGGTCCTGTGGAAATAAATTAACATGTAATTCTAGAAGAAAGGAAACCCTAGGAAAGGCCTGGGGTGAGTCCTGGCTTCTTTTTTTTCAGTTTGTCAGCAACTCTCCAGAGCATGGTAAGCAACCATAGAAAACAAAGGTAAAACTGGAGGGGACACAAACCCAGAAACAAGCCCTTGCCCGAATATGTGCAGGAGATGGCAGGGCATTGTGTCACATGTTTGTAATACCAGTTGTTTGAGAGGCTGAGGCAAGAGGATCCCAAGTTCAAGGCCAGCCCTAAGCAACTTAGTGAGACCCTGTTTCAAAATAAGGTTTGGGGATGTAGCTCAGTGCTTAAACCAAAAACAAAAATCTAATTTAGAAAATGAAAGCAGCATCTTCCTGAGTCAAAGGGTTGAGACTCCTCAGGCTGGTGGTAGGAGTTCAAGGAATGGTATAATGAGGGAAATTTGCTGGACATTGGGAAAGCATCATCCCAATTCTATACCCCTCCGGTTCTCCCAATGCGTTCTGTGCCCCCCCCTCCTCAGACTGCAACTGAAAGTCACTGAGTAGGAAGTAGCTGGTGACAGAAATAGTCCCTATCTTGATTGGGGTGGCAGCTACAGAATCATAACTACATGTCAAAATTCATAGAACTATACACCTAAAAACAGCAAATTTTACCATATGCAAATTAGATTTGAATAAAAATAGATTTAAAAGGAATCACAGTCTGTTCAGAATGGCTATGGAAAGACTAATTTAAATGATTACTCTCTCTCTCTCTCTCTCTTTCTCTCTCTCTCACACACACACACACACACACACACACACACACAATCTTGGTAACACTCCAGGTTCCTCTTCATCTGTGATTTGGTGAGCTTTGCTCCTCTGAGCCAGGCAGAAGAGCACCTTTGTTGAATATTGTTGTTCTGCCCTCTCCAGAGGGCCACGATGCTTTCCAGGAGTCATGCAAAGCTGCCAAGTGGGAGAGCTGGGACTTGTCCCTGGTCTATTCTCTCACCTTCTCTGGTGCATGTCCATTCGGTGACAGCAATGACCTGGGGTAGCCTTCTGCAGTTAGACATTAAGTCAATCCCATTAGGCTGGGAACTCTGATTTTCAGTCGATTCAAAGTTAATGAAGTTTTTAAAAAATGACATCATCCTGCTAATCCCTTCCGGAAAAGTGGAGACACCTGTGCCCCAATTGTGCAAGGATACAAGACCCCATGAAGGACTTCTCTTGCCACATAGACCCAAATCTCTCACTAGAGGGTTTTTTTCTTTTTTTAATGTGTGTGGTGCTGGGATTGAACTGAGATCCTTGTGCATGTGAGGCAAGCACTCTACCAACTGAGCTATATCCCCAGCACTCTCACTAGAGTTTGTCACTGCTGTTCCTTGGCTCTTGGGACAAAGTACTAAATCCTTAAGATGCTGCTGGACAGACTTTTCCCCCTTTGTATCTGCCAGCACCTCCAGATGAACCAGCATCCCCAGCTACTGTTGAATCTGTTTCAGTTACATGAAGACATTTTAATAGTTCCCACTGCAGGTCCTTTGCATATGCTGCTCCCTCTGCTTAGAATCCTGCACTGCACATCCTTCCTCTCCTTGTTAATTCCCACATGTTCTTTGAAGGAGGGTGTTTCCAGCGACCTTCTCCAGGGATACCTGCTCTGATACTAGGGAAGTCTTTATTATATCATTTCATAAAAGCCAGATTCCTTCCTGTATCTGTTTTACTTCAGCTAAGAATGGAATTGCACCTTCACTTCCGTGGTCATTTGATGAATGCCTACCTTTTACACTAATCTCCACACTCTATAATGTCTGGGCTCCTGCCTCTGTAGATTCATTGTGTTATCTTGAAGTTGATTACCTTGCCTGAGAGAAGTACTTGGCTCACTGTCCAAGGGCACCCGATCTGCACACAGAACTACAGAGCGAAGTTTTCAGATTCAGGGTGTAATCTTGACTATCATATAGAGGTGTCACAGCCAACACAGCCTTAAGATTCTGACATTTGAGCTTAAGAAATTTGAAGCTATGCTGTCACATCCTTAGAAATGATAAAGTGAAAAATGGGAGTGATTCATAACCTATAACTCATGAGAGAAGAGTTTCAGTGCTGAAATTTGCTAGGATTCACATTAGGTTTCTGAGGCAACATAGCAAAAATATGCCACATTTGTTTTTTTTTTCTTTGTATCAGCCTTTGGGACCTGAGGAATGCCAGGTATGATATTTTTTAATGGATGTGCATCCAGAAATTTCAACATGAGAGTGAAATGCTATCTCTCTTTGCTCAAAGATAGAGTGCCAACTAACTGGTCAAGAGCTCTGATGAAATTCATCTGTCAAGTTCAAATACCATTTTCTCTACTGTCTGGGATAGCTGAACATCTGGCTTGCAATAGTACAATAAATTAAAGGCAATTTAAAGGCAAAGCAAATTCTCTGATGTATTGAAGGGTGGGTCAAAGGCTGTTTGTACCTGAGACAGAAAATATTCCCATTCATGTTTAAATCTTAAACTGTGAATTCTAGTCCTAGCAAGCAGAGGGAGACCATCATCAAAGTGCACCTCCTTTGCTACCTCCAAGTCTGTGGAATATAAAAGTAAGTGGCTTTCAGGACCCAGCTCAGTGACTTTAATTCACTTCAGGTTTGCACATAAAGAAGAGGGACAAGGTTGTACAACCAGTTGTTACAAGGATCTTGGGATTGATGGCCACTAGCTCAAAGTGGCAGGACTCCAAACCCATGCTCAGGATGTCTTGGTGCTGTTCAGGTGTTCAGCCCTGAGAATTGAAAAAAGGCTCTGCAGCTAATGAAGAGAATAGTCAATAGGAATCTCCTTCTGCCCCTGCAAGATTTATTACTAAAGTGTGGAGGGCAGTGTGAATACACGTTTCACAAGTGATGGAAAGAGAGTTAAGTATGAAAGAATGCTGCCTACCACTCTCTCCATCTCTCCAGTGTATAAGAAAAGAGTTTATGTCTGGGAAGAGCTCAAAACTCAAAAACATCACTTTGTGCATATTTCAAGCAAGAAACAACGGAGGCTTAGTGAGCTTAAATCTCTGCTCATGGATCCAGGCGGTAGCTGAGGTCCCTGTTGCTGGTGACTTCCTCCCCATCTCTGGAAGCTGCCTTTCCATCACCATCATCACCTAAGTTAAAAGGCTGTGTTTTAAATATGGAATGTGTCCAATTCTGTTGTAATCTGGGCAGCTATGGATGAGTATTACTATGACTCATTGTTGCCAGTGCCAGGAACCTTACACTTCATTGCCATCAATCTGTGTGGTTCTTGCAGTGTGGTCTAAGCACATTTATAAAGTGTCCCCACCAGGCACTGGGGAACAAAGAAATAGTTCAGTTTTAAAGATGTTAAAGAAATTATGGTTACATGAGGCACAGACTTGGGAACCGACTGATTCTGGATGCCCAGGGTGATTCTGGAGCGTACAGACAAGTTAGAGATAGCTGCTGGTGTCTGTGCATATATGTGTGTGCTGCATGTGTGCATGTGCCTATACATGTGTGTGGGATCAAAAGGCTCTAGAATACAGTGGAGACTTGTTCATATCTGGGGTAGATGAAGATCACCAGAATGTGCAGACCTTAATGACCCTCCAGCCCTCCTTGACTACCTAGCCCTCCACATCAGCCAATGCTGATTGACACTCTTTGAGCATTCTGCTGGCTGACAATTTGGAGGGCTAGGTAGACAAGGAGGGCTGGAGAGTCATTAAGTATCCAGCGGTTACATGTCCAAAGACAGTTGACCTAAAGACTCTTATTTTTTAATTTTAAAAGAAAGAAGTGGAATCTATAGTCTCATAGGTTAAAAAAAAAAAAAGTATAAAGTGAAATCCCCAGGAGTCATCCTGTGCCAGTACTAGAAAGACCTGTTGATTTTCCAGGTGGGAACTCTGAAGATCAGGGGTTGAGTTCTCTGCCTGAGTTTTATGACATTTTTGCTTGAGACCAGAACTCGGCTCTCTTACGTGATTCTGCATACCAGCGAGATGCTCATATCACATAAAACTCTGGCTCCTGTGCAGAATCCTCAGGAGAGTGCCATCACCTGCTTTTACAGGCTCTTAGAGAGAAGCCAAGATCCAGGTGGCAGTAGGCACCTGGATCTGGGCTTCTTGCCCTGCCTCCTGGCCCTGTGTGGACCCTCATTAGTCTCCAAGCAGCTCCCCTGTACCCATTTCTGGAACATGTCCTAGCTGCCCTAGGAGACACTCAGTCATGACTTTAAGACTGTAAGGCTGAGAGGACCAGGGTGTTTTCTCTTAAAGACCTCTGCCAGGAAGCTGTGAGCACTTGCTCCAAGGATACTCTGAAATACAAAGGGGCTCACCCTTGGACTGTTCTTCCCCCTCCCACCTGACATATCTTTCTGGCTCATCAGGACAGTCCCAAACAAACCTAAAAGTATCTTTTGCTAGGTTAAGCCAGGTGGGGGGGGTCTCCCAAAAAGCACTTCAGACCCTGTATAATCACATATTCTCACTCCAGATACCAACCTAAGTGTTACAAGTATTTTCTCAGCCCCTTGCTCTGCTTTTATCAGAGGGAAAGCTGCTTACAAGCAGCCTTTTCGTTTTAGCAAAAAAATAACCCACGCTTTGGTTAACCTACCAGACACAAAGTCACAGCCTTTTACTGTGTTCAGTCTGCATTTAATAGCTACATCCTGCTGATGTTTTAGCTGAATGTCGATATTTTCAAATAGTGAGTGACAGAGCTGCTCCTCTTTAAAAATGTGGGCTGACTTCCCTCCACTCTGTTCTTTTCCTGTCCCCTCCCATTTTCCACCATGGTATAAATTGGGGATATAATGAGGTCTCACATTCCCACACCCAAGGATGGGGGGAGGAAACACATCATAGGAGCTAGCTGTGATTTTATCCTCTGCGTTTTTATTACTGACCTGGCTTTATGCCTTGTAGCAAACCCTGCAGCATGTCTTTACAAACCTTTTTCACTCACAGGAAACCTGCTACTAGCCCTGGATACCAATCTGGACACTTATGATTACAAGCAGGTGTCAGGTCAGGGGATGGTGGGGAGGTGGTACACAGAACAAGTGCCTCAGGCTGTTGCACAGAAATCTCACTTAGCAACAGGAGCCCAGGAACAGGCAAAGGGAATATGCTTGGAAGTGTTCTTCCTTGCTTCTCTCTCTGCACATGCTAGATTCCCATCACAAGGCAAAAAGCCTGCTAAAAGCAAGGGCTACTGCCTGCCTCTACCTTTCTGATTCCTCTTCCAAGCAGTCACTGCAATAAGTCACACACAGGTGGCTATTCCCCTATGGCCACCTCCTGCTTCCCATCCCTCCAAAAATAGAAAGAGGCTCCAAAATGATCAACACCCTAGCCCAGTTCCCAGAGAAGTCCTACCCCCATTAAGGCGTTCTCCTGAAAGCCAGAGTCCTGGGGAGAGGGGAACAGTAGAGGAGTTCAGTGCTCTTGTGGATGTCACACACTGCTGAGAGGAGAGGGCTTAAGTGGGAACAGGTGGTTGTTCTTTAGGTGAGCATCCAGGAGGTGCAGTTGTTGGGCTGTACAGGTGGTGCAGTCCCTGAAAGAGGTGGCCAGGCTGGGTGGAAGGTGAGAAGGGTCTTCAGAAAGTGGTGATCCCAGTGAGGGCACCGTGCTTGCGGCTGGGTTCTGCTTGAACAGGCTCCTGCTGGCAAGGGAGTGGGGGGCATATGCATCCTGCCGCACCTCTACTCTTGAGAGCAGTGGCATAGTAGTCCAGGGGCTCTTCCTCAGCGCCCCCAGCAGCATCCAGGAGGCAGCAGCGCAGGCAGAGAACTCTCTGGAAGGAGCGACGGAAGTTGTCAGAGAGGAAGCCATAGAGAATGGGGTTGGCACAGCTGTTGGCATAGCTGAGGATGAGGGACACATGGTTGACAGTGGAATCAAGGCTGGTGACAAACAGGTTCAGGAGCTGTACCACATAGAAAGGCATCCAGCAGAGCACAAACACTGCCACTACCATCAGCACTAGTCTAGTGATCTTCTTTTCCGAGCGCCTCCGCTGCTGCCACCCAGCCCTCAGTGCCACGGCTCTCATTTTGCCCACAATGAGCAGATAGCACAGGCCAATGGCCAGAACCGGCAGCAGGAAGCCCAGCAAAAAGGTGTAGACCACGAAGACTGCCGACCAGGCCGGGTGAGGCCAGTGCAGGTTGCAAGCCACTGCCTGGCCGCCCCGAGCCGGCCTGGTGTCTGCGAAGACCGCAATGGGCAGGGTGACCAGCAAGGACGCCAACCACACGCCCAAGTTAATCAGCTTGGCCACACTAGGACGCCGATAGGTGGCGGCTCGCAAAGGGTGCACCACCGCGACGTAACGGTCCACACTGAGCACGGTCAGACAGAAAACACTAGTAAACATGTTGAGGCCGTCCACACTGAGCACCGCGCGGCACAACACCGACCCGAAGGGCCAGTGGCGCAGGGCGGCTGATGAAGCCACAAAAGGCACGCTCAGCATGAAGAGCTCATCGGCGATGGCCAGGTTGAGCAGGTAGATGTTGGTGGCCGTCTTCATTTTGGCGTAGCGAAGGATCACGAAGATAACCAAGGCGTTGCCCACCAGACCCACCAGGCACACTAGCGCGTAGATGCTCTGGATGGTGACCATGCCAGCCGTCCCGGTGCCGTCGGACCGCGTATCCTCCTCTTCCTCTGCCGGGACGCGACTAGCGTTCGCCGCCGGGGGCCAGGTGGTCTCGAGCCCTTCTTCGCCCCCGGGGGGCAGCGTTGCGGGGGCGCTCATGTCTGGGGATGCCCACCCCAGCGGCGGAGTGTGGCGGAGCGAGCGCAGCGCGAGAAACCGCGGGCGGCGGGACCCCGGGGTCTCGCGCGCAGACGCGCGGCTCTCAGCCTGCTCCGCCTAACCAGCAGGCGAGAAGCACAGCGCTGAGCGCCCGCCCATCCCCGCACCGCGCCCCAGGATTGCGGGAGCCGGGCTGGTCCCACTGCCTCCGCCAGTTCCACCACCTCTCGGCTGGTGCCCCTCTGAACCCACCGTGCGTGCCCCACGTTCCGCCCCTTAGCCCTTTCTGGGCCCCGCCCCGTTTTCCCACCTCATTTGCCCTCTCTAGGTTTCCAGCTCCACCCCCAACCCTCGGATCTCTAGCCCAATCCCCAAATCCTCCTTTGGTTTTCCCTCTGTCACCATCATGATCTCAGGTTGTGTGCTCCCCAACCCTTTCATTACTCTCTAGGACCTGCAGCTGAATGGGAAAAGATGAAATGGGTTTAACCATGGGACAGGTCTTCAGGAGAGTGAAAAGGGATGGATGTCTAGTGCAGATCTCCATTTGGCTAACGAGGCGTACAGGATGGGCCTGAAAATGCAGAGTTATTTGCCCTGAATTTGAGATCCTCTCTCCCTGCCCCTTTAATTTTCGGGAAGAACTGTCCCATGGTCAAAATCATTTCATATAGGCAAAGCCGGAGGCCCCTGCCGACGTCGTGGTCTGTTCCAGGTGGCCAGAGGTGTTCCAATTTCCCCTTTCCTGCTCACCAGACAATTGTGGGTCCCTGCGGTAGGGGGCTCTGACCTTTTCATTGTGAACCAGGTGGAGTTGAAGTAGGGTGACTACAGGAAATGGAGATGCACATGCAGAAACACAGGTGCCCTCAAAGAAAGCAAACCCTACCTCCTCAGGTCTTCTGTACACAGTAGAGGCAACAGGTACCAGAGCCTGAGAATCCCCACCTTGCACCAGCATTGGGTCATTTGAGGGTCTTCAAACCAGGTCTCTGAATGTGCCTGAGGAGGAGGGTGGTCAGGAAGGGCATGAAGACCAGCACTGGTTTTCCTCTGCCCCCAAACTCCAGTTTGAGCTCACTGGCACTTCCTGTTAGACAGGGACAGGCAGAGCCCCCTACTGCAGCCCTGCTGCTTGACACAGGTGCAGAATTGCTGAAAATGAGAAGTTTGCCATGGAAAGTTTTTTCAAGGTAGAGCTGGTATTAAGGAACCTGGCTTTTGTTAACCGCATCTCTGAGGCTGTGGCCTCCTTGAGCCCCAGCACAGCCCCACCAAGACTTTGACAGGTTTAGAAGTAATTTCCTGGGTAGGGGGCTCCAGCTTCCTCCCTGGGTAGCTTGGGCAGCAATGGAGGGAACAGGGTCAGATGTTTTAGACATGGAGGTGGCCTTTCATAGAAAAGGACTGGAAGCTGCCCATTGCTCTTCATGGAGCCTTGGGTTGGGGAGCACTAGTGTGATAGCACTGTACAGCACAATAGTTAAGGACAAACTTCTTTCAAGTTTCTGCCACACAAGGGACCCTTTGAATAAAGGTGGTCTAGCAGTGCTCCACCCTTTTATAATCACTCCTTAGTCTGTCTTTCCTTTCCTCTGGTCCCATTTACTTCATGGCTCCTAGGGGAGATACTCTCACCACCAGGAAGGAGACAGCATTTGCATCAATCTAGGTGGTGTTAATGTTTAGGGGAATGGGACAAGGGGGAACTTCAGATTAAGGTAGAAGGAAGAGAACAGAGACTTTCCCCTTTAATGCTAGACTCTAGGGGAGACTCTAGACTGGCTCCTCTGCATAACACCTCTGGACCCAATACAGAGATGCTGGGTCCCATCATCCTCAACTTTCCTCCTTTGCTGTCCTCTCTGCCCATTTAGCCCTCTCCCTTGCCTGGGAAAGTCTTTCCTGTTGTCCTGTATAACCTGAGAATCCTGGGAATCTTTCCCATTTCTATTTCAGAGATTCCCTCCTAATGCTTCCTGATTCTGCTCCCTCCCCAACATATGCAAACAATTTGAGCAAAACAAGCAGCATTTAATCAGATAAATACATTACCATCTTACATGAATATTGGACCTGTGGGGTAAGCAATTCATGTAAATGAACTTGATGGGTAGAATATCATGAATTTACAAACATAGTATTTCTAGAGTCCTGGGGGGGGGGCTGGAAGCTGAGCATTCATTTATGCACTCTGACAGTCAATAAATAATGATGTATCTGTCCCATGCCAAGAACTGCCATGAGATAGCATCCAAGGGAACATGTTGTACAGGGTGCCTCAGTATGAGAAAATGATCTTTTGCATGCAGTGCTGCTGGAACCCAGTGAAGGTCACCACTAACCCAATAGGCAAATAAATACAAGTGTCTGGGATCACAGAGGAAGGGTGGGAGCATGTGGGAGCCACAGAAGGTTTCTCAGATAATGTGACAAAAGAGGATGACCATGGCAGTGAGAGCAAGGTGGACTCTGAAAAGGGAAGCTGGGCTGGGCACAGTGGCTCATGCCTGTAATCCCAGTAACTTGGCAGGGTGCTGAGGTAGGGAGAATTGCAGGTTCAAGGCAGGTTCAATTGCAGGTTCAATTTAGCAAGACCCTAAGCAATTGAGTGAGACCTTGTATTAGAAAGAAAGAAATAAAGAAGAAGAAAGGAGTCCCTAGGTATGAGTCAAAAAAAAAAAAAAAAGAAGAAGAAGGAAGAAAAGAAAAGGAAATCTTCATAGCAGATGCTATGCTGGGGCATGGGGAACAGGGTGAGGTGCATCTGCAACATGAGCTACCTGAAGGGTGCCAAGGCTACAGAGCCTGGAGGAGCCTTGTGTACCTTGTACCCTCTTCTGAAACTGGAGAAGTAGGGAGTATGGATGAGTTGTGTATCAGGGTCAGAAATGGAATCTGGCTCTGATGTGGTTTGGATAGGCAATGTCCCCCCAAAGTCCCTATGTTAATGCAGGAATATTCAGAGGTGCAATGTTTAGATTATAAAGGCTGTGACCTAATTAGTCTGTCCTAGTCTGAATTTACTGACTGGGTTGTAACTGTAGGCAGGTGGGGCATGGTTGGAGGAGGTGGATCACCTAGAACATGCTCTGGAAGTCTTCTTCCCTGTGCTCTCTTTGCTTCCTGGCTGCCATGAGCCAAGTAGCTTCTCTCTGCCATGCCCTTCTGCCATAATGTTCTGCCTTACTTTGGGCCCAAAGCAATGGATTTCATCAGCCATGGATTAAATCTCTCAAACTGAGAACCAAAAATACACTTTTGTTCCTCTAAGTTGTTCTTGTCAGGTATTTTGGTCACAGTGATACAAAGCTGACTGATATGGGCTCCCTGACTTTTGGCAGTGGATGACAGAGGGTCTTTTGAAGTATGCACAAAGAGTCTTTTGGGGCCAACACAATATCACAGGCAAGAACTACAAGCTTGTGCCTAGACTGCTAGACCAGGGCACACTCAGGGCATTCCTGGTGCATATTCTGTAGGCAGAGAGTACATATCATATGTAAGAAGGCTGTTTCGAGTGGTTTCAAACCCAGCTCCATTTCTTGTCAAGAGTGCTGCTTTGGGCAAGTTCCTCAATCTCCTCAGGCCTTAGTTTTCACACCTAAGTGGGCATGATGGTTGCTACATGTTTGGGTCCTATGAGAATCCACCACATTGGAGAACACCTGGACCCTGGTCAGCACCCACTAAACATCTACTGTCCTGGTATTTCTTCTCTGTCCTAGTGTGAAGAGCCTTAAAAGAAGAATATGAATGATAGGAGTAAAGGTGGGGTCCCCCTGCCCACACATGTCTCCCAGACTATTCTAATGTCTCAGTGTTTGGCTGTTTTCAGAGAGAAAAAGGTGAAGTGGAGGGGGTGGACCATTAACAATACATCTTCCTTTTGCTATTATTGTTTTTGTTATTAGTTGTACATAGATTTCTATTTATAGACTTCTTAAATCTAACTTATATTTAAAATAATTCTGAGACACAGGGGAGAAGCACTAATAGTATCCCAACTTCATCCAAATAGTGAAAATAGAATTTGCTGTCACAGCCAGATTCTATTCCTTAACACATTCCATCATGATGGGTTATGCACAAACCTGATCCTTTGGGGAGTGAAGGTAGCTTCTATTAGCAATTGTGCTAAAAGGCTGAGGGTGTGGCTCAGTGATAGGGTGCCCAAGACATATGGATGTTCTAATTATGGGGGACATTCCACTTCCATTTTATTCATTTCCACATTAAGTAGTTGTTTATGAGTTTAATTTTTAATCAGAAAAAGAAGAGTTTGGAGTTGTTTAAATAGTAGGTTAACTTCCAAGGGACTGATACTTTTCTCTAAAACATCATCTCCAAAGGGTTTTACAATGGTAAAGATGGAATGTGCCTTTCACTACAACACTGGGGAGCTGCTGGGGATTGTACTGAATATTCAAAGCTGAGAGTGGGGAATCCCCTGGTTTCAAAGTACTCGCCCAAGACTTCAGTGTTCAAGAAGGAGCCAAGGAAAATGTTGAGATGTGAATCACTCAAGCAAGAGTGAATTTTCCAGAGATGGAGAGATCCCCCTCTCAAGATGGACCTGGAGGTCACAAGCTTCTAAGGAATACAACTTTCTTCCTGCTATCCTGTTTCCCTCAAGTTCTACCAAGCCTCAAACTCTGAACCAGGGTTAGGAGTGGGTTTCAGGGGTTGGGGAGGTTATCTTAGCTTTAAAAAATTACTAAAATGAAAAAAAGTTGGTTTTATACTAAGGTTTCCTGTCCTCGACACAGCATCATTGTTATGAATAGTTCTCATGTAGGTAAAGAAAAGGAGATTGGAAAATTCAGGTCAGGTTGGTTCTTCTCCAAAAGTGGGGGGAAAGCCTGAAATTGAGGTACGAGGCATTTTAATTCAGTTGGCAGGGTTGGGTGAAAGTGATATTTGAATGCTTGATATTTCTGGAGGCAGTATAACATAATGAAATTGCCCTGGTCTGAATGACAGTTTCACCAGCTGTGTGATTTTGGACAAATCATTCAACCTTTCTGGACCTCCATTTCCTTCTCTGTAAAATGGAATAAATCCTAACCCTATCTTAGATGGGCTGCTATGTGGTCTAAACAGGTTGAATTATGTGAAACAATTAGATGTATCTAGCACTAAGAAATTCTATATGTATTTATTAGAAGTAGTGTATCTAAACCAGAATCCACTGTAGTTGGTAGTTCAAAGCTTCGGGTGCCCTAAGCA